CCATATCGCTGAGTTCTTCCATTTTCTTCGGAGGGAAGGTATCCCTGAGATGTAACTGTTTCATCTCGGCAAAGGCTGCATCGTGCGCTTTGTCCTTCCACTCCTTGAGTCCAGCCTTCAATGACAACTGTGTCATGATGGCTGCTACCACATCAGGTTCTTCTTCTACCTGTGTGTAGAACATGTGTGCATCTGGGTGCAAGACACGTTCAGTTGTATGGACGTTTAGCGTCTCATACTTCTTTCCATCAAAGCTGGGAATATACGAATCCTTTGCTTGTGTCCTCACTCTACTGGACCTGCGCACTCCTGGCGTCTGCTCAGGTGCCGCTTGGGTTTCAACACCCACTCCTGGGATCTGTTCCAGGGGCTGTTATCCGTAGTAGGTTCCGGTTCCTCTACCGTCTCAACGATAGGTTGGGTAACCAGTTCCGTTTCGATTTTCGGATCAACGCCGATTTCATTCGGTTCGTTGACTATCGATTCTTCATCGTCGTCGTCGTTGGCCTGGTGATCGTCGGGATCATTCATTTCGTCAATGGTTTCAGCATCCGCATCCAGGTCCTCATCGGTTTGGATCATTGGTAGTGGGGGTGCATCATTGCTTTCTTCCCCTTCCACTCCTGTGATCTCGACATCACCTATGGGTCTAATTTTTCGATCAGTAAAAACGAGTAGTTTAGGCTGATCTTTTCCTAATAGATTGACTCTAGCTATCACTGTATCGGGCATTGGGATCTTGTCCCACAAATGCCTAGTAATTTTCTTGCCGGAGCGGAGGCTCATACTAAATTTGTAGCCTCCTTGCTTATTTCCAATCGTTCCCATACAGATGGCCGCCTTTGTGCATCCTACCATGCTGTTACGGGGCGAGTCTTCTTCATGCACCTGGCAGTAATCTCCGAACTGCAGGCTCAGGTGCTTTTTATAGTCCAGGGACTCTCCCATCATTATCAGACGGGGGCTCATTGTCTGACTGACCCCCGTCTTACTTGGGAAGTACGTCAACTGTTTGACGACTTGTTACACCAAGTTGATGGTTAATATTTTTGGCATGCGTGTGAACGGTAGGCTATGCCGGACAGCTCGTGTCCTTTCCTTGACTACCCGGATTCTACGTTCGATCTCGGGTACGTGCTCGTTAGCACTGGCAACGTTCACTACCGGTCCACCCGGCATTGCCATGATTGTGTTGGACAGAGGCTCAAACTCATTGTCCACATGAATGGTCGTGATCTTAAAACCACGAGCCTTGTAGAATCGATAGACCTCCTTAACTGCTTCTAGGATGGTCTCTAGCTTCCTGTTGGGCAGGTGTCTAGATGTTGTAAAATCGATTTTACGGCTTAGCGTTAACAGGAACGGAATTCCTGCCACAAAGAAAATGTCCATCGTTAGGAACACATCCTTGTGTAATTGCAAAAAGTCTCTCGGCACTTTCATTGCATTGCCTGCCACTGCGTTTGGTTTCGTTCGAGTGGTCTTGCCTTTCAACGCATCAATATCCTTGCCCCATATAGCTTGTGCCGTATCGATGTCTTCGACGGTCACTGGGCAATTTGCGATTTGATTGCTCATAATCGCCCATCGAAAATCTTTAATCGATGGATAGACGAGTTGCTTGTACAGCAGCTTCGCCCTTGATGCGGCTTTAACTTGTCGTTTGCTGAAGCCTTCCTTATTTTCGGCGACAGTATTCACAAGTGCCTTCCCTTTTTTCCTAGGGTCATGAACGTGTAATCCTTCACTGTTCATTTCGTATACTACGTCCGGTAGGCCTGGTCTAATGACTGTGTACGTTCCTTTCGGACAGTCGTAGACGATGTTGCAATTCTTGCGGACATTCTTAACAGATAAGATGTTCGTGATTCCTCTTTCATCGAACCATACTCTCTGTTTGTGGCCAGCTAGCTTGGCTGTGTGCTGGACCTTCAGCTTGCCTCTGGTACTCTTCACTGTAATGGGACGATCGGCTTTCCTGATGTCGGTAACCATGTCCTTATTACAGAATAAATCCAACGTGGACTGGTTGTCCAGTAGCTGGACCTCTCTCATATCTATGTCGTCCAATCTTTTGTGTGGGCGACTATGCCTTGCTTAGTCGGTTTCTTCGTTCCGTCCGCGAACAGCGGTACGTCGAACGTAAAGAAACCTTTTTCGACTTTCTCGTCATCTGACTGCGTGATGTCAGAGTCGGCATCATCCTGTTCTTTGTTCAGGGTTGTCAATGCGGTCGTCATTTTATCTTGCAGTTTGCTGATAGTAGCTAAGGTCCTCCTTTGATTGCTACTAGAGCTTTTCTTGCTCGACGTGCTTGACTTGCTACGCTTGCTCGACCTAGACTTGTCATCGTCGTCTTTGTCTTTATCTTTGTCTTTATCTTTGTCTTTATTTTTGTCAGGACAGTGCGAGGCTGGATGTCCTTTATCGTGGCAGGAAAAGCATTCTTTCTCTTTCCAGTATTCTTTATCATAGCTCGCGTTTCCGCGGCCTTTTCCTCTGCCACCACCCCGTCCTTCTCCCGCCTTGTGCTGTCTGAGCAAAGGAGCTTCCGTGGGAAGTGGACTGTCGTGGGATGTTACTCTTGGTGTGTTTGTCCAAAAGGTGTAATACCTCATGTAACGTGTGGGGATAGTTATCAGTGCCTTTGGCAAAGTCGTCCCTCAGGTTCTGTTTAAGCTTGGTATTTTCGGCTGAACTATTAGTTAAGAAGATGTAGCTATAGTACCGTTCCTCTGCATATGCCGAGACTGTCCTCTGGTCTTCGACTCCCAGGTCAGCGTATTTGGTGCCTGGGTGGAGTAGGTTGGCCGTATGCAGCAGGGCTGCATCGTGTAGCTTGGAAATACCCACGGATTTTGCAATGTCCTTCTTCGTGGTAAATTGCTCGTGGTATTCGGAAGCGGTGAGGCTCCCTTGGTGGAAATTCATCAGTTGTTTTTCCAGTTGGAATAATGTGTGGTACACAAAATTATCATCTGTCTGGGCCATGATCGTCTTATGGATCATTTTTCGTAGCTCCAATGGGTCGAATCTTAACAGGACGTCATCGAAGTCCGTGTTCTGCTTCATCTTGTCCTTTAATAGTCGGGTGCACTGCCCTAGGATCAAGTTGAAAGCTTTGCCTCTATTTTCTTGTAGTTTTGCCAACCTCGTAAGTTGGGTCTTCATGAGCCCTCCATACTCTGCTTTCTCGAGTCCCCAGAGTTCCTCTTCCGGTGGGTCGGCTATGGCTGCCGTAAGGTCAGCTATTTCATTAACGAGTTCTGCTTTTTCTATCGTTAGTGTGCGTAAGCTACCGAGAGTCGGGTCATTGGTGACTGCGGTTATCTCTGCTTCCAGTAGCTGTAGGCTTGCTTGGGTTGCCGATAGGAGACGACGGTTGTTCACTTCACGTCGTACCTTCGCCGTTTCAAGCCTGTTCCGGGTCTCCGCTGAGTACACCGGTGCTACCAACACTGTCTGTTTCAGGTTGCGTAGCTCATTGCTCATGTCGTCACCCATCTGTTGTGGCTCTGTATTTCATGGTATTTCTGTTGGCATGAAATTCTAGTACAGAGGTACAGGTTCAATCCCTAATCGCGAATCCCCAACAGTATCGAATACCCTCAAATGACTGGTTTTCCCCGGCAGAATACCCTCACCGAATGAATGGTATCACCAGTCCCCAATATACGATTACCAATACTTAGGCCTAAGTGGGGGTGAAATATGTACTAAAACTACTAGGTAAGTCCCACCAGCCCATACAACTCCCCTAAGACTGATACCCTCTATCATGTGACTACGGTTGTATATTGGTAATACAGTGCAGTGTTGTGTCTCGAAAGCACTAATTGGCAGCTTCTGGAGTCTCCGAGTGGTAGTCAAGATCCATCTTCGTGGCCGAATACAAGGTCTCTGTTTCCGCTCAGCATTCCGAGGAGGCATCCACTACTGTAGCTAACGCGGTTGAGGCGAGCCAAGCAAGTGAACTGAATAGGCGTTCATTTTTACCTTGGCAGTCTTGCTGCCAGAGCCCTCAACCCCTTTAATTGTTTTTCCTGCTACAGTGGTCCCTGCAGGTATAAGGGTAGGGTTAGAATACGAATAAGTCATCAAGAACTAAATAAGTATTTTAAACCAGCTAAAGCTATTTACATGCATCTTAGTAGGGGGATCTGCTCCTATCAGGAAAAACTCTAAAGCTAGCGAAAGCTATATAACTAGTATTCTAGCTAGCTAGGGGTATCTGCTTCTAGCTTGCTATGGGAATCTGCTTCTAGCTAGGGGGATCTGCTTCTACCTAGCTAAGCGCAAGTTAAGCACTAGCTAAGCACTACATGTATCTGCTTCTAGCTAGCTACCTAATAGGGGTATCTGCTTCTACACTGAAACCTTTCTGCCGAGGTTCCACAGCTCCGCTGGCTTAGATCAATTGGTGCACTCGTGCACTCTCGCAGTGGTGGTTCTTGATTTGTCTGGACAGTTAACTACATCTAGCTAGGCACTTTGTTCTGACTGCATCTCTAGCTAACTACTAGCCAAATGCCAGGAGTGGCGACCATGAAACTTAAAGGGGAAGCTCCTAAATTTAAAAGATGCGTTACCCCACTGATCATAATTGAATGAATGCTGCTTTCAATGGTCTTGCGTACATGTACCGGTATAATACCGGGACCAGTAGTCACTGCTTTCATGGACTCGATCAACCTAGTTTCTAGTGAAACATGTGGTGACCACAACATAACAGTTCAGTGATGTCTTTAAGGGATCAGTGATGTCTTTAGCGGATCCACGCCACTAGCTAGCTACAGGTAGTACTAATTGGTGGATTGCTCTGAGGAAGCGGATCGGTGGATCCGAACGAATAATACGAGACTTTTATACGTTGCACATAGCTTACTGAGATCAAAGCAAAGGGAGCTGTTGACCGATGACGGACGATATGAATGGTCAATCCAGCCAATCATGAATTTCTAGTAGTGCAAGCCGAACCGTCGTGGCTGGACGAGGCCGCATTAAGGCTTGAGGGTTTCCCCCATGATTAAGCTCCTGGACGGCTGCGTTGTTCTCCTGGACTTGTGCCGCGATGATACACGCCATCTCGGCGGCATTTTGTTGCGATCGATCTCCTCCATCTTGGCTGCATTGTTGCGATCGTTCTCCTCCATCTTGGCGGCATGGTTGCGATCGATCTCATGCATCTTGGCGGCATGGTTGCGACGCAACTCCTCAGTTTGTTCCCGGATACGGTCCATTTCCTCGTCGTGGGCTTCATAGCGACGCTTGCTCTCCTCCATCTCAGCAGCATGGTTCTTGGCTAGCGTCTCGCGTTCTTCCTTGATGCGTTTCCACTCACGGAGCTTGATGCGATCAAACTCGGCTTCTTTGTCTTTCTGCATTTGAAGAAGGAGAGGCTCGAGGTCATTTGGGTCGCCAGAACGCTCAATTTCATCGATGAGCGTCTGGGCATCATAGTGACTCTGGCGCTTCGTGGCTTCAGTCTTGAGTCACGTCATGCCCTCGGAATCATTTTTGTCGGGGCGCATCATGCGTTCCATCGTGTCGGCTCCAAACCAGGCTTCGGCACACTGTTCCATCTCGGCCTCGTATAGCGCGACTTGCTCTTCAGAAAGGTTGTAGTCACGTAATAGGGATGCGCAAGCACCAGTGACACTTGGATTGACCACGGGACTGGCACTGTCTGCCGTCTTGATCTCGGCTTTTGGGCTGGGCTTGATCATGCCGGCTTCTTGGCGACGCTGTTCCTCCTTGACTTCCTGGTGGCGCTTGATGGCATCGACTTCATGTTCTTGCTGCGAGGAATCAGTACCAGTAGGAATGTGATGGAGGGACGCACGAGGGACGCTTGGGCCGAGGTTGTCCTCCTTGATTTCCTGGCAACGGTTCGTGTCGGCACGAACTGGCGTTCCATTTCAGGAGGGCAAAAGCGGTAGAAGGCAGTAATGTGATTGGCTAGTCAAGCTAATATGTCAGCAAATACGTCAGCAATACATAACGTACCAATTATAATTATTTACAGAGGCAAATGTGCTACCTAGTTCGAAATTTCGTGTTTCTGTTTTCGGAAAGAAAGATTCCATCGTCGCGATCGATCGATCGACAATGACATACTGCCGCTCTCGCCCTCAACTCGGCAGTCATTATCCCAGCCAAAAGCACCATCATGACCGGAACAGCAGCAGCAACAGCAGCAGCAACAGCAGCTACCACTCATAATGGAGGAATGGGCTGCCAAAGTCAACAGAGGAACTCGCAACAGAAGAGAGCCTACCAACTGGCTGCCAACAACAACAACAGATCCAAGAGAGCCAGAGAAGAAGGACCCCAAACAACACTGGGAGGAGAGGTAGCAGAAGTCTTTGATCCATTGAAGAAGTGTGTCATCTGTAAGGCCAGACATCTTGGTCTCCGAGTCCCAAAAAGATCACACCACGTTCTCTGTATTAAGAATACAGTAACAAGAGGAAGTGGAGATTTGAATGAGCTGACAATGGAAACCATCAGAGAGAGCAGAAGACTTACAAGGCACTTCAGTGCTCCTCTTCCACTGAATGAGAGAGGAAGCTGGAAGCATTCCACAAGAGAGAATGGAGATGCCTTCTTCGCTGCTAGAACGAACACAGCCAAACCAAATCAGAGCCGGCAACAGAAGACATCCACAAGGAACACAACCGGCACAACTCCACTAGCTCTCTGTCGAAAGGTCACCACTCTTGTGAAGGATAATGCCTTTGTCGAAAAGCACAAGACCAACGGATCCACCGAGACGACCCCAAATATGATCACAACTGCCCCCGTTGCGGTGATGATCATGAGACTGAGACCCATGTTTACAGATGCCCTCATGTTGACGTGGATTTGTGGCGAGGGACCATGCAGCGAGCGATCAGCACAAAGTTGCGCAAGGACTCCACTGACCCCTTCCTCCTGGAAATTGTTCTGGATGGGCTTCAATATCACTTTGAAGATCGATTCCTCCACCCGTGGCATTACCCAGCACGGTATAGAGATCTTGTTGACGCTCAAAATCTCATTGGTTGGGACAACCTCTTGCGGGGACGGATGGCCAAGCAGTGGGCCAAGCACCAGGATGCATATTTGCATCGGGTCGGTTCCAAGGAGACCACCAAAACCGGACAGCTTTGGGTCACCAACCTGGCCTCACTGCTCATCCAGCAGTGGTGGAACCTGTGGGAAGATCGCAAAACTGCCAGGCATGGCAAAGACAGGGAAGACCAGTGGAAGAAGAAGCACGAACAGCTTCAGCGGGAGGTGGAACTCATTTACGAGAAAGCGGATCTGATCCCAACGGAGCTGGTGGATTTTATCTTCAAGCGACCACTTGACGAGCAAATGGCAAAGGGCCCAGGCGACATCAAAGCGTGGCTTGCCAATTGGCTGCCCGTCGTCGACAAGGCACTCAGGGACGAGCATGCACGCACCGAGCACAACAATGACACAGGGTAACTACGCACAAAGGGGATCTTACCGTAGAAATAGATGGCAATCCAGCCAAGGGTAGTTAGTTAGCTGCAAAGCACCCTTCGGAGTTTTTAAACTTCTCCGGTGGGGGGCTTGCACTAGGCCGGTTCCTATGTGGGTGTCCTTGTACGTCTGAGGTACTCCGGTTCAATATGGCTCTGTTCAGTGGGTGGTCTATTGAGGTGCAGCCTAAATAATAAAACTTCGTTATTTTTTCTCTCGAAAAGCACAAGACCAAAGGAGCACCATTGCCTATTCTAGCACTGGCTGAAGCTGTGTCAGAATCCATTATCCGGCCAAGGAATCCACAATTCCACCAACATTTTGAAGGACTCACCATGACAGTTCGATCCACAGAGGAGCAATTCAAGTCTCCACACTATCACTCTATTGTTGGCCAGAAACTACTCCTGGTGGACTGGAATCGATGTGGAATTACAGTTCCTTGTCCCGATGGAAGATGCTCTGGCCAACTCAAGAATGCGAGGCATAACTGGTCAAAGAACAAGACCTTGTTCCCTATCTTTGGCATCACTGGAGCTCCATCTTGGTGCATTGTCATGTCAATGGTCTGTGACTGTTGCATGAGAAGGTTTGATGCCAACAGTGCTGAAGTCTTGTGCACAATCCCACAGCATGCTGCTCTCCTCTATCCTGTGGAGTCAAAGTATGCCCTTCCAAACAAGGCATGTCACCTGGACAGGACCGACACTGAGACTTTCGAATCCATAATGTTGACCTATGGAAATGGAGAACTCTGCAGCCGACTCATCTACAATGCAATCAACAGAGACTTCATTAGGTCCATGACATCATACTTATCCTATTGGGAGGGAAGTGACACTGATCCAGATCCCTTTCTTCAAAAGGATGGCACTTAAATACGACAGTTTCCTCCTCTTGGTGACACCATCCGTGACATCTATGATGCTGCCTGTGCTTCAAACAGGAATCCGTGGAGGATCAGTGACAACCAAAGGCAAACAAGAGAAATCCAAAGTGTCAAGTGCAACAAAGGAATCTTCTGCCAAGACCATACCTTTCAGGTGGTCAAGAACTACTCCACATCTGAGAAGTGCACCTGAAGGTAGGATACCAATCTACAAGGTAGGTTATCGATTAAAGTCGAAGGTCGACCCTACGATACAAATCGTGAAGGGAGGTTGCGGATTATGCACCGAAGCTTCTGGTTCCCCATGAAACAGTACTTACAAATCTGTTAAAGGCATGCTCAATGATCCAGTACGGCCCGTTTAACAAACCTACACCCTCGTTGTTCACAATGCGTGTGGTGGACACCGTGCATAACTTGAAGCATGTCTGGGTCATTGGTAATTAAAAAGGATCGGCTTTAAATAGTTCTTTCCCTCCGAACAAAGATGTTTACCATATAAAGCAGGATCCAGTACCAAGCCGAAGGAAGGGCAATTCCTACTTAACGGTCATGAAAGCATCCAAAAACACTGCAAACGTGCTTCAAATTAAGAGTTCCTAGGATACTAATCACTAAGTACAGTTCGGGAAACTAGACCAAAAGAGGGGAAGATTGGGATAATATTGGGGTTAGAATCTTTAAGGATACTACTGGCGAATACTGCATCGAGAGGTTTCGAACAACAACAATCGGGAGACAAGTTGTCATGGTTAACAGGAATAAAAGGGGAGAAAGGTTACCGAATAAGTAACCGAACATCGCATCGATAGACAAGGTGCGGCAAGAAAAAAGGGTGGCATTGGATGCAAAACAGAACTCGGGAGGCAACAAACAATGACGGAAGAGGAACAGCCGCCATGGTAGCCATGCAAAAGAGAAGGAATGAGGGGAAAGCAAGGCAAAGACCCCCTGGATTTGGGAGCATAGCATGCCAAATGGCAGCCTTTGGCTCTAGTTTGGGAACCTTGGCCACCTACAAGCCCAAGCTAAGCTTCACCCGGACGGCGCCTTCTTCTTCTTCTTCTTCTTGGGGGCTCACCATCTCTTCACCACCCATACCAAAGGCATCGATGCGGACTCGGCAAGGATGGCCTCTTCTACTTCTTGAGCATGAGGCTGTGCTCTTGAAGCCACAACCTGCTGCCGCAAGTCCTCAAAACGTGCAAGTCCGCATCAGTCCACCCTCCAAATTCGCAATTTCCACCCTTGCCATTGAGTACCGGCCATCATGTTTTCCATCCTTATCTTCTGCTTTGGACCTTGGGACCGCCTTCTTCTCTTGCACCTGTTTGTCAAGTCGAAGTATGCAGGCCACTTTCCTGGCAATTCAGAAGATTGCCTTCCTTATCCCTTGCATCAGGATCCGGAGTGGCGCCATCTCAAAAAAGAGGACAGCCATAGCTTCCGTATTGGAGGCACGCAAACCTCACCCTCATATGTTGCTTCCGAAATGGTTCTATGCGTGCGGATCCCTTGCCTCCACACTTGGATGCGACAGCCATTGTGCAAGGAAGCAGTTCCACCACCACCAGCCTTCTTCATCAGGTCCTCATAGCAGCCTTTTCTTCATCAGTGGCATCCTCCTTTGGGGGAATCAACAACCTTGTCTCGGTTCATAATCTTCAAGATGTCATCCATGGAGGGAAGTCAGCCGTCCCCTTCTCCGCAACAAACTTTTCATCTCTCTCTTTTTTTT